GTAAAAGTAAATAAAAAAATGCAAACAGTAATAAGGCGATAAGGTGCATTTTATGATGAAGGCAGTGCACTGCTTTTGTAGGAAATAAACAGGACAATCTAAACACCGTAACTTCTGTACATTATCCATTCTGCGGTGTGCTAGTCCACAAATTGAGAACAACATCAAAACTAAGTCTATTCTGTGGTTACAGTTTAGTTAGAAAAGTCGGAACAACATCAAAAATAAGTGTTGCCAATTCTCTTCTCATCCAGAATCATGAATGAGTAACACCTTGTAAATAACGGCCTCGCCGGCCCCGACTCGGATTCAGATTTACTTATTAATACGGGCCCTAGTCCGCAGGTATTTTTCCACGTTTTCTCCCAAAGCTTTAGGCTGTAGCTACATCAAAAGCTAGGATATAGCAAATTATTTGTTTTTGTGAACGTAATTCCTATCAATAAGTGCCACTTGTGGTCTAAACTAAATATGTAAATGATTTTGATTTTTTATTCTTTTGAAACGGATTTTTGTCAAAATTAATAACCAAACATGTTGAAAAAAATTATTGAGAAAAAAAATTCTTCATAAATTCGTCATGGATTTTGTCAACACTTTTAAATGGTTGGTCATCACGACTCTCTCCAATTTATCAGACCCAAATTGAAGAATTCGGATGAACTCATCTCTTAGTCACCTACTACGCCAGTGACACCCATGGGAAGAGTTGGGAGGTCCTGTTCTACTCCTCCAATACGGGAACTACATGGATAACTTAATACTTAGTTTGGGACTAGATGGCGTAGTGTAAAATGTCAAAGGTGCAAGGATATTTCTATTCATTATTATTAATTTATTTAAAACTAGCGGCCGCCCACGACTTCGTACGCGTGGATCCCGTTTTACCCCCTTCATCTATCTTACGCGGTTTAGATTTTTTCATACAAATGTTTTTTCCCGCTTACTCCCGTTCCCGTAGGAATTTTGCAATATCCTGTTGTAACTAAGCTTTAAGTTTACTAAGGTACCTGCATGCCAAATTTCAAGCGTCTAACTTAAGCGGTTTAGATTTATCATACAAAAGGATTTTCCCGCTAATTCCCGTTCCCGTGGGAATTTCGGGAATTCTTAGTGCACCTCTACGGTACCTAAGCTACGTCCCTTCCAAATTTTAAGTGCCTACGTTTAGCCGTTTAGGCTGTGCGTTGATATGTCAGTCAGTCAGTTTCTCCTTTTATATATTTAAGAAGATTATTAATTTATTTAAGATTTGCCACTCTTGCCGGAACCATTTGGCAAACATTTTACCACCGCAAAATTCCGTAGGTATGTCTCAATAACTTTATAGCTTAGCTTCTAGTGTGTACCAACTTATACTCCCTATGTAACGGTTAATTCCCCCCTTATTTTATTCATGTTTTGTTCCAGGTAAGAACATCGGCCATCAAATATGCACGTGCCCGGTAATCAGGTGGACCTACACAATGAGCCTGCGATTTCGCGTTGAGGAAAAATAAGGAAAAGACATTTATTGTCAATGAAATGCTCATAAATAACGCTCTAAATGTCTAAATTTGGTTATTCTTACCGTTAGATAATTCCTGGCAATTAGTGGTGACTGAGTTTGTTCCGGCGTTTCTTCTCAGCACTTGCCATATGTGTCTCGAAGCGCTTTTAGGGCCTAAAAGATAAGGAGACATGCAAAGTGCCCCATAAGGGCTACCTTTTCTTTTTTTATATTTACTATATTTTGACGTTCATAAGTGCCACCTTGTGGTCTAAAGTGAATAAATATTTTTGATTTGATTTGATTTAATTTGATTGCGTTTTAAATTGTTTCCTTAGACGAAAATTTCGCCTAAGAATACAAAATTAAACAAATCAGTTTACAGGGCCAGTATTATGCCACCTCATTACTCATTAGAGTTCTAATCTGTGGTTATATTCAGGTTCATGATGACACTCATTCACCTGAAATTTCGGCACAAATTCCGTTCCGGGCTCATCCCCACTCCCCCCCATGAATAAGACAGACGACAAGCGGGAATCGTGGTTATAAATCATACGCGGTCATAGTGTAGTGTGAGGGTAGTAGGTTAACATTGTTGTTAACACTTCTTAATTCACTTCTTTTTTAAATGGCCTATTAAAATCTGCGGAATAAGTTTTGTGAAATGGAAATGTGTCAAAATGACAATTTAATTTTTCAGTCAAAATTCGATGTAGTAGTCTAATTGGGGTTAATTTATCCGATGAGCTGAAAAATTAACCGTAATTATAGTACCTACTAAATTCTTTGACCAGTAGTTTAAATTATTCCTGAGAGACTACTCGTACTTGTACAGACATGGACAAAATATCAATATGAAAGCTAAATTTTATGCCATTTATTTAAAAGAAAAAACTATAATACGAATGATTGGCACTAGAAGCTAGTTTTTTTTTCTAACTAAACACAAGTTTATTTTTATTACATCCTTCCATTTTATTTATTATCCTTTCATTTATTTGTTTAGACTAATAAATAGTACTTACAAATCGTCAAACATTTTGCTCTTAAGGAGCCTTTACATGTCTTTACCCTACCAGCGCTTCGAGACCAACATTTGTCAAGTGCTGAGAAGGGTATACTGCTTTTACTTTTACACTGTGTCCCCCACTAAAGCTCTGATATATCATTACCCCCAAAACATGAAGACAAATAGACTATTTACACTAATTCCGAAAGAAGCTTACCCCCCACCCCCCACCCCTGGCTTAGGGGCGGTTTTTATTATGATTTATGTAGTTTCAGTGAGATGTTTTCATTTTCAGGCCCATTTGAGCCCAAATTGAAGCTTAAATGCATAATAAGTTTGTTTTTGAAAGTTTTGGGAAGTTTTCGTATTGTGTAATGAGTGTTAGAGGTTTTTATTTAGATTGGGCTTTAACTGTTTTCACTTCAAAGTTAGGAATAATATGAACAAAGAGTATAGTAGGAAATCATGCTGAATATCTAGAATAATAATTATTGTAAGTCCCAGCTTAAAATAGAACTGGGCAATTTTGCCAATTAATTACTCTGGTAACGACCTACTAATTGGCACAGTCAGCGTCAAATAGTTAGTGACAAAGTATCAAAAAGTCTTTGTTAAGCCTTGATCACACGTACCGAGTAAACGGGCGAGACAGTAAAATGTTTACTCGGCCGAGACAGTTGGGTGAGCGAGTCACATACTCGAGCGCTCGGCCGAGCACTCTGCGTAATGTTCACACACACCGAGTACTCGGCCGAGAGCACTGTCTCGTCCGTTTGCTCGGTACGTGTGTTCAAGGCTTTACATTACAGTAGAATCCCGATTATCCGGATCAATTAAAACCAAGGGTGGTCCGGATAATCGAAAATCCGGATAATCGATTTTAAAGTAAAATCAAACAATAATTAATTTTTTTACAATAGAATGGGTTTTCAATTCATCATTTAAAGTCTAAAAATCTAAATTTTAGACCATTGGTTGAATCCGTTTCTTTTAACAATGAACTAAACGACGTCGATACCGTGTTTACGGTGGGCGGCGCCTTCCGTTTTTATGGGTCCGGACTTCAAATCGGTAATTACAAATCGTGAAGAATGAGTCCGGATAATCGGATAATCGGATATCCGGATAATCGAAGTCCGGATAATCGAGATTCTACTGTATAAATTTTTGGCCACTTTGAGTGTCAGGAACTATTTGACTGACTATACCTAGTATTTTGAGTAAAAGCCTAATAGTAGTATTCTGACTAAAAGTCTCTGTAACAATCATCATCATCAGGTCATTCAGTCTCCATTGCAGGAGTACGACCCTCTCTAATTTACCAGAGGCAAATGGACGAATTGAGCCTTGAATTTAATGTATTATACTAACAATCAACCGTACCGTCAGCCGTTTGGTGTAGTGGTTCGAAACGGACTACTATTCCGGAGGAAGCGGGTTCGATTCCCGCACAGTACAAACATTTGTGTGCATGAATATATTTGTTTGTATTGGACTGGGTGTTTTCTATGTATAATAAGTATGTATTTACAAAAAAAAAAAAGTATTTAGGTATGTTTATATCCGTTGTCTAGTACCCATAGTACAAGCTTTGCTTAGTTTGGGACTAGAAGCGCAGTGTAAAATGTCTAAGAATATTTATTTATTTATTTATTTAATATAACTGATTAAATACATAAGAAAGACAGGAACATTTCAAATAATAACTTATCCTTGTAGACACACTCCAAACAATTTTAAACCTTACCCAAAAGGTATAAGGTCGAAGATCCTTCGCCTAAGACTATATGTGTACATTGCAGTTCAAGATTAGTATTTATCGGTACAAATGTACAGTTTAATGCACGATTTGTCACTACAATGTGTGTTTGTACTAATAAAGTACACTGGGTGCTATAATCATTAGTGAATTATTTGATTATGGCTAAGTTTAACTGCCATTTTGAAGGTAAGGCGCTAGTTTATTACACTAAACTATTATTAAGTCGTACCTTGTATTGTTGTTTAATTCTTCTATAATTGTGTTTACCTAATAAATACTTCGACAAGACATTGCCAACATGATAAAAACTTTTCTAGAGATTTTTGTAGGCTTTACATTATTTTTGTTATGATATTGATGTAAATAAATTAATAAAGACAAGACAGCAAGTTTTGTAACAAAAGCGTGTATTTATTTACAAACATTTAATCAACAAACATTACTTAAAAAATATTTTTACATTAATTTAATATTATACATCACTTTATTAATACAATTTCATTTTGGAACTTTAGTTTAGTTTTGTTTCATCAACATTGTTTGATAGCACATAATTTTGTGGATTAGATATCCGAAGGTTTGACCCCACACAGTCCTATAAATGACAGGTATCTTTTAGTTTAATTATTGTTAAAAATCTCATTCCAGTTCTTTTTTTTCCAAAAAATCAAGCATACGACTCACCAAAACCACTCCATTACTAGCCCTTAACTTAATCTATTCCTTACTTAATTACACCTTCCTGCCTAATGCTGTTGAAAAAGCTTCCTAAATTAAAGACGAAGCGCCATCTATGACTAAATTCCCCCCGTTCATATGGGGGAACACGTCACTAGCCACCAGACAAATATACGCTGCCACCTCCTTGGGTTCCAGAACCTTCCCTTGTGGCAATATGGATTCCAGCTTCTCATAAATGATCTGGTGAGCTGGATTCTCTATTTTCATCCCAGAAAGAATATTAGTTCTGGTGATACCAGGTGAAACGCAGTTGATCCTGACCCCTTCTATTCCAAGCTCTGGGGCTGCTTGCTTCGCGAACCTCTCTAGAGCAATCTTTGCCATGTTGTGCACAAGAAACCCTGGCCTGAACCTCGTCATCATTGAAAAGGACACATTCACTATATTCCCTTTCGTCTTCATCAGGTGCGGCACAGCTAGCTGCGTCAAATAGAAGGGTACTCTTAGATTGATCGCCATTATGTCGTCGAAAATTTCTATGGATTTGTCAAAGACTGATGACATGGAACTAACACCAGCACAGTTCACTAAAACGTCAATTTTTCCGTAAACTTCTACAGTTTTTGAAATCACTGCTTCACAGCTCCCTTTATGAGTTAGGTCGAGAAGGAGGCATACAGGAGTCTTTTGTTTTTCTTCTTCGCATATCCGAGACGTGTTCAATAGTCGGTCTTCATTTCGACCGACCAAAGTCAGTCTGGCTCCGAATTTGGCGAAGTACTTAGCTGCTTCGGCGCCAATGCCCGAACTGGCGCCCGTCACAATGACCACTTTGTCATTGTAATTGACGAAAGGTTCCATCGCTGACATGGTTATGGTTTTCCTGACGTTTTCACGGATATTATTATTCGCATCGCTCGGTGTGTGTACTCGCGGTGATATTTTAACGTGGACTGATTTTTTATCAGTTTATCAACACCTGCCCAATGATATCGTTATGTATTAATATCGTCAAACATTGAAATCTGTATACAGACATCAGCAGGTGAAACTACACTTTTTTGTTGCATAATCGCACCTGTTACAACCATGTAAAGTTCATTTTTGTTTAATGTGTCATCGTCATATACAAACTAAGATTATGGTTAGGTAAATGTAAAATCAGCATGACGTGGAACTTTTAAAAAAAAGGTGTGCATTACATTTGCCAAATCATTTTGAACAAAAACATGTTTTTTAATAAAAACAATGATTACACTGCACTGTGTTGTCCATCCGGTTTATAATGATGTGATAAAATTTATAGTTGTCTTAGTGTGATGACTAATTTGTGTAATCAATTAATATTATTGACTTAATTTATATTAAAATATAGGTGCATATGGCTTAAAATTTTCTCTTTGATAAGCGATGTTGTCATCATTTAAAAATAGACTGACGAATGCAAGTAAGTTATAAGTTGCATAAGAAGGCCTAAGGTCACCCAAAGGGCGATGGAGCATGCTATGCTCGAAGTTTCCCTGCGTGATCGAATCAGAAGTGAGGAGATCCGCAAGAGAACCGAAGTGACTGACATAGCCCGCAGAATTGCTAAAATCAAGTGGCAGTGGACGGGGCACATAGCTCGCAGAGTGGATGGTCGCTGGGGTAGAAAAGTTTTCAAGTGGCGACCACGAGCCGGAAGACGTAGTGTGAGCAGGCCTACTACTAAGTGGACCGACGATCTGGTGAAGGTCGAGGTAGGTGTCGGATGAGGGCGGTGCAGGACCGGATCCTTGGGGGAGGCCTTTGTCCAGCCGTGGACGTCATTCGGCTGAAACGAACGAATGGCAAGTTGCATAATTTCTAAATAAATCAGTTCTCAAGCTACCGTACGGATAGGTGTCCAGAGTTCAACGTAACTTTATTTATTTTGAAGACTATTTTCGAACGAATTTCTACTTACAGCTTTGTTTGGGTGGACTTTGGTCTATCATTGATAAACTATTTTGCGACTCCCTCGCTTTACTCATAGCCTAAATTAAACATTTTTATCGCTATCATAAAAAATGATAAACTTTCGCCATTTAAAGGATGTTATTTTTGCGATAAAGGTAGCCTAGGCCCTATTTAACTCTAATATCGAAATTCATCGAATTTGTTTAGAAGTTTAATTGTGAAAACCATCAGACAGAGTTAGGGCTTCTTCACATGGTTATCCAGTTTTGCGGAATGCAGTAATGCAATACAGGATTCTAAAAAACTGGACTGTGGTGTGAACACATTCAAGAGTGTTTGAAATTCGAATTGCAAATTGGAACGGATCGGATTTTTGCGGGACACATCATACGGGATGTTCGTGTGAACGTTAATATTAAACGTATACTACAAAACGGGATCCTACAAAACGAGATGTCTACGTGGGAACAAGCCCTATTTTGTCATTAGAACAAGCCTTAACGGACAATAGTGACGACAGTTTCTTGCGCTGCTTCTTCTCAGCACTGGCCCATTTATTGTCCTGAAGCAGTGATTGGGGAACAGGGACATGTAAGAGTGCTTTTTAAAAGCCTACTTGCATAAATAAATGTTTTTTTTGAAATTTATTATGTGCTCTTATAAAATTTCATTGCACACAGTAGCTTTCTAACACCAAGTATAATATTTCAAATGTCATTAAAACTAAACATCAAACTAAAATTTCAACAACACAAAACACAATTGCAACACGTTTTATTTAAAAAGAACTTCCAGTCTCGCAGCTTCCAAATTTGTGCAAAAGCTCCGTGATGAGATGTATGCAAGCGTGAATAACATTCCGTAAACAATAGAAGCTCTCATTACAGCTTTCAGCGCTTTGGCTTTTATTAAAAACTATACGAAACAATGAAACGTGCTGCCAAAGACATGTTATACTTAAGCTTTAATTTTCAATGAGATTTGGACTCTGCAAGGACGAGTGTGGAGTCCATTTTCTTATTAATTACGAATGGGAATTTTGGAATACCAAAGATAGTCACGTGAAAAATGCAAGGATAAGGAGATAGGATGGTACACTTTTAAGGAACTCTTATCAATTTGTTTACTTTTATGACAAAGGCTGTTAAAACAGAGGTTAGAATCCTGGTGTCAAGCTTTTAGCGTGGTTGAACCGACACAAGCATTTGACATAACTCAATCGAGCTAATCGTTTAATGTTCCGCCGAAAACGTCGTTTTCTTAGGACAGTCAAGGTGATTCCAGGTCTTTTATTTTTATATTCGTCCGTTCGTTACAGCCAAAAGACTGCTTTTAGAAAAAAAAAATTCATATTTAATTAAAAAATAGGGCTTCCACAAGGTACTATTTTCGAACCTATCCATTAAATTTTATAAAAGCAAAAGAAATTATAAATGAATGCTACAATACAAAACTCGTGATCTGAATAAAGTCGGGGAAATCATGCCGATGATTTACGTTCGCAATCGACGTTAATTATATGGAATTACATTTAATTGTCATCACTATGGCCACAGTTTTGATGAGGTTTTCCTTTGCATTTTCATTTGTATTTTATAATCGTAATACTATTTTCAGTAAATGGCTTGTCACTAGTATCATGATGACCTTGATCTGGTCTCTATCCACATACTTATTAAAGACAGATCACGTGCTTGTTACAATTATTTTTTTAAATTCTGTCTTTAGGGTCTCAATATAATCTTATTATTAAAGAGGTTAAATACCTTTTTAGTAATTTAAGATTTCTTTACGGTAGGTATGTGAGATAGAGTCTGCCGGACAAACAGTTAGTAGAGGCTTAGTAATAGGGTCTCGAGATTACACCCTTTGGGTACGGGTACCCTAAAAAGTAAGAACGCCAAAGAAAATGTATTTAATAGTACAAATATTTACGATACCAGCTAAATGCAATAACCTCGTATTTTGATTGGGCTAAAACTATCAGAGTTATCTAAATTAAAATTTAAATAGGTGCATGTATAAATAATGTTCATACGGTACTTAACTTAGAAATAGTTCATTAGGAAATTCGAATTGTAACATAGATTAGAAACAGTTCAATTCGAATTTAAAATTAATTCTAAACAGCATTGAGTTTCACACAACACCATCACCAATTAGTTTTATTCATAAAAATTCAGAAACATTTTTAACATGTTCTTACAATAACACAATTCAAACATACATAATTATCTTAATCTAATTTTATACCAACAATAACTTATTAAATTGAGCGGTAACATTTTAAAACTTATTTTTTTGTATTTAAAATAAAATTACTTAACAAAAAATAATTCGGACCAATTTTTATTAATTTCTTCAGAACAAGAATGATTTTCATTTTGACAGTTCTGTATAAAAATACCACAAAGGTATTTTTTTAGAACGTAAATGGTGTCAACTATCCTATTTTACATAATTGTGACCTTCTATAACTTATAGTACCTAAATCTTAAAATAATCTGAGGTAGGCTTATCTTTTAAAGAAATTAAATGGATGCTTCCAAATAAATCACATAATTTCACATCACGCCTACTTCTAATCGCTACACAAACGAAATAATTCAAACTAACAATGAAATGCGATTTATTTAGAGCGAAGTTCAAACTAATTTTTATTCAAACGCAAAAAATTTGCAAACTCGAGTCCAAAGGTGCGAATACATCGTGCGTGGACAATTACCATGGTCCAAAGTTGATCCGGTTTGTGGGCCAAAGTCTAAAATCCACTTTTATAATGGCGATTCCCATGAATCGATTATGGGTTTCTGCATATTAATAGTTGGACTTTGATAGGTGATCTTATAGGACTTTGGTCACTGATCAAAGATCGAATTTTATGTGCAAAAACCCATAATTTGAAAAATACATGCTTAATATTTTTACACGCGCAAGAAATTACAATCAGCCTTAAAAATATTTATACCGAGTACATTTTAAACACGATTTACTGTATTTATCTGAGTTTCATTATTTAAGTTAAATCTTACACCCTGTTTATTTGTTTATTTTTTAAAACAACAATACCAGAAATGACCGTACAAAAATACACTTTTAACTCTTAATCTACATCAATAGACAATTTGACACGATTTCTCAATACCTAATTCGAATACAAAACTTTTATAAAAGGACACTTCATTCTGGGCTTAAAAACTTAATTAATGTTAAATTGCCTGTAAATTACGATTTTTGGTCGCATTGTAATTGAAAAAAGTAGTTTAATTGAGTTGACAAAATAGTGACGTCACTTGCTTGTAGTGTGATACAAAATCTATGGGAGAGTTTCGTTTTGACAGTTTTAAAAAGTACGTCAATTGATTGGTGGTGTCAACATGTCTATTGTCGACATCCTTGTTTTTCCATTATGATGTTTTTAACAATATGTTACATTTGTAGATACCAAAATCTCGTGCGTATATACGTAGGCCGTTTAATTGCGTGAGCATCACGCCCATTGTGTATAGCTAACATTGACGTATATACTACGTCATAATCAAATAAGTGCCGTTTATAAATAGCCATCTATATTTAGGCGACACGTGAGTCATTTATATGTGATTAAGATGCGTATACGCATGTAATATAGTTATTTGTGGTTACACGCACAGAATTATAAAGCTAAAAATGGTTAGTCCAATGTCAAGGTTTAAATAATTATCAGTCTAAAAATACTTTTGTAGTGATTTGAATTAAATGATAGTTTTAAATGAAGAAAGAAGAGTCGTAGATAAAGGGTACGTGGCTTAATATGGAAACTCACGTAGTCACTTTTGAATAAAATATAATATATTGTAAAATCTCCTATTTTACTACCTGACGTTCTCCTGACATCAACAACCTGGTTACCATCGCAACCGCCGTAGCCTATACCCGGCGCAAAGAGTTTTGCTTACCGCTACACTACCCCCCCACGAAGAAAGATAGCCCACGGCAAAAAAAACTAACTAAAAAAAAACTTGGATCCACCATAAGAAAAAAAAAAAAAAAAAAACTTATGAAACTGCGGGGACTTTAAACCTCACCCTACGGCCTGACCGAGTGGTATAAGCCTTCGTGATTGGTAGAGGAGGCACAATTGCGGCGGGTTGTGATGAATGAGGCGATGACGGTGGTGACGAAGATGGAGATGCTCCAGACACCCGCGTGGATGATGCAATCGCAGATGGATCGACATCAATGAAAGCGGGCTTAACCCTATCCAAGCTTACAGAAACATTCCTCGTGCCGACATCAAGACTTATCGTTTTATCACCCCTTTTAAGTACCTTATGCGGACCAGAATATGGGCATTTCAAAGCAGGTCTGTTTGGAATATCATCCCTAAGGAACACATGGCTAGTCGTTGCCAGATCT